TTTAATGAAGCTAATGGGCAATGTTGAGGGTGATGATGCGATGCCCGATGAAGCGAACGGCGGTGATGATGGTGGATTTTCTGACCCTGGCGTTTGATGATGCAAGGTGCAGGTGGAGAAATGGAAGGGAGGGTGTGGGCTATGACCAACCACTACTGCTCGTCCGAATTGGTCAATGCATTCATCATTCATCCAAGTGGAGGCCAGAGCTTGCTACCCTGAATGAATATTCTCAAAGATCAGTTCTCAACGTCAATTCTGCTCTGGTGTTCAAATATTCTTATTCTGAGTGAGACGATGTAGTTGCTATTTTCTCTGTTATGTGGCTGCATATCGAGAAAATTCAAGTGCCTCGACACCTACAGCTTGCTTTCGTCCATGAAGTATTGAGTGCTGAAAGCTCGCCGATCTTTTGATCCCGGATCTAATCAGATAATCTAATGTACACGTAAATGAAAATGATGTACTCTCCCCTGGACTCCCATGTACCTAGCAACCTTACATGGTCAACGTCGCTCGCTTCGAAAACTTCCGGTCTATTCCAGGATTTACGGATACCTTACAAGAAAACAGTACTCATGCCCGCCCAATTGATATGTGTTTTTAAAGCGTAATCCAGGAAGTCAAGAACGTCCTATTAATATATTTCGTCAATTGGAAGATCTTTTAAACTACCTGACCACCACCTGTAAGGTGAAAAGCTCCCCTCATAAACATTGGTAGCCGGCAAAAACTTTTCGAGCAGCCTGTGACGTAGGTGTAATGCTCCTGGCCAAGTCCAGGGGTGGCCAAGATGATGTATGGTGTCAACCAAACCTGCAAGCTCAACACGCTCATTGTGCAAAGTCAACATTCGAATTTGACCGAACCTCGTATGCTTCATGTGCATTCATTCCCATGTTCAAATTCCAGCTAGAGTATGCATTGTCACAGTATCACTATAGTCTGATCTCGGCAAGGCAAAGCGGCTTCTCTTACTGTGCTGAATAGTGCCTTTGCCCGAAAATTTCTGCTTTTTCTCATGAAGAAGCTTTGCCTCCCACGTGCATGGTGACAGAGGCGCTTAAGGTGTCTGGTTATGGCATGGGTTTCTACTGACGATTGCTGGGATAATTTGACGACATGAGGGAGGCTACTGTAGGTACTACTTGGACCCTCGGACACGGGATCGCAAACGGGTACGAGATCCTTTGATGTGCGAACCAACCGTCAGACCAGGCACTGCCGGAGCGTTGGCTTGGTGTTCTAGATCACAGCACGGAAACGTATCACGAAAACAAGGGTCCAAGAGGTCGAAGAAAAAGCAACATGGTCACCCGCAATTGGCATCATCTTACGGTTTTGCCGATCATATCGAGCCATACTACGGGTATTCCCAGAGTCGTGTCGTCCCATGGCTGCATATCTGCTCTCCATGATTTCTGTCATTGCAACATCGATGCCGGCGTATCCCAGCTGTATGGACTATATCGGGAAGCACCGTTATCGGTCTGAGAAGCCTTCTCCGGCGCATTTGCATCTAATCAATCAGTCAATCGATGGACCTCTGCAAAATTATTACCCGCTAGCCCGATTATCCCCCAAAAGCGTAGACCCTGTTAGGCAAATGCAGCTCTAGACAGCTCATCAATCGATGGAGATTTAACGCCAAGTGCTTGCGCTTATAGGTCAAGAATCTTGTGCCTTGGTCCAACAGGGATAAGCTTCTGTTCACCAGAGAAGAAAATTTTTCTTCCATTCACAATTGCCCTCCGCTTGCTGGCGCTCATTCGGTCGGTACCTGTCCCCAAGAAGAAAAACATAGCATAATTGTTACAGGGGTTGGGTTGCGAGCACAAGCACCAGGGGCCATCTGGTGCTAAAAGACCCCTGGGCCGCTCAGAGGTCGGTAACCAGTCAACTCGAGCTTGGTGCGCGACGCTACTGTAAGCTGGCTAATTAGATCTTATCAGATCCGGTTTATCAGATCATCAGATAATTCCCTCATCTCCACAATGGAGCCCAAGGTATTCGCCGCCCATCAACACTCCAATCATCAGCATTTTGCCATCCACCTTCCACCTTCTCTGCGGGACTGCCCCTCCCTGTCGTCGAACGACATTGCGAGGCTCGAGTGATCGGCTCTTCTGGCGTGGACGCCGTCAAACCAAAGCCGTTCTTCGCCGCACTCTGTGCGTTCCTGTGCCTGTGCTGGTCAAGTTTTTCTCTGCCCCAACCCATGGGATTAACGTCGTGTCTGAACGGTGTGAAAGAGCTTGGGCGATAGGGGCTGCAGAAAGCCGTCATCGGCCCAGGCGAGACTGGACGTTTCGAACCCATGCCTCGATCCCACGGAACAAAAATGCGTAGCGTCTTCAAGGGTCTGCATCGGCCCAGTTAGCAAGCAATGGACTGGACTTTGAACTGCGGCTGCTTCAACCTTTTGTGACGCCAGCTGGGATGGCAAGCATATTTCCAGTAGTAAGGCCGTCTGATCCTTGCTCAGCGGCGTCAACCTTTGCAGAGTTCGCCAAGCTTGGTCGCTGTTTTGTCATGTCTATCTTATCTGATCTTTTACCAAAGATCATCGCCGACGTCGCATCATATTCGTCCATACTTACGCTTCTTTACTGGGGATCCTTGGTTAGTTTGCTCGTAATTCAGGAACCTCCACTTCCTCCTGCCACCGCCTTGAGACGCAAGTGGCCATAAACACCCCGCCTGTACAGATGAAGCTGAAGAAAAACACCGCGTAGAAGACTGTAGAAGTCGGAGGTTTGGAGGAGAATATGGGTCAAAGAGTAGTTCGAGTCCGCAGACTCTGGATGAGGTCGAACTAGGGGACCTCTCAAGCCGAGGAATTGGTATACATATCACAGTCTCGATTTAAAGATGTCAACATACATCGATCGCCATTCGCGAAAGGCCCAAGCTTTTACAACATTCGTCCATATAGGAAGGTTCCAAGACTGATCATCATCGCTCGTCAATAAACTAAAAACAAACTTTGCTTGAGCTTCACCCACGAGTATGGGTATCCGGTTAACATGCTTCGACCCTTGCTCATGGCCTTTTCCTCTGCCCATTTGATGCTCATCGTTTCCTCATTCAACCTCGAGTGCCGGACTCAACCCACGCCGCCACGCATCCCTGGAGGGTCCCTCCACGCTGGGGGCTTGCGGCGGGTTGGCTAGTTGGGGAGTTCTCTTTAGACCCGCAAACCAGTGTGATACTGCTCGGAGATGATGAGTGGGCAGTGGCGCCTCGAAGCTCACTCATGCGCTACGGAACTTCACGGCGTTGATGAAGTCCCACGAGGAGGGTCCACGAGGCACGCCGCGGCCATGGACATGGAGGATTCGGCCGCAGAGCCATTGACTGCGCGACATTTTCCATCCATTTTCCATCCCTTGCAGTCCGATGACTGGCCTAGCCTGTCGTCCTATTGCGTCGTGTCGCCCATCCTGCAGCGGCTGACAGAGCCTTTGAAGTTTTGACACAACCATTAGAACCCAACCCAGACGGGGTCTGCATGAGGCAATCCTTTAACCATGCTGTGCCTATGTCTTTGGAGCACTCTCATGGTGATCGCTGCTTGAGTTGATCGAGGGTCAACATGAGTCCTGAGAGTTACGATGAGAATATCGCAGGTTTGGTATATGAGTGCTATGCTCGCTCTCCCACTTCACGAGGTCCAACACAGGTAAAGCTTGAACAGAGAAACTGAAACACTCACGAAAATAAAGAAAAAAACAAAAAACAAAAAAATAGAAGCCCAAAATGGCTTACAGGACCCCTCCGAGCTAAAGCTCGAAAAGGTTGGTGCTTTCTCTACAGCAGGGCATTTAGCCCACCCCCACCATTTCCCGATCCCACCCTCTACAGGGCCTAGGCTTGGGCTTAGTCCTGGTACCATTCACTACCTACTAACCAGAGTCACGTTGACTGACGTTAACAGCAATGGATTCCGTCACCATTCTCATTCACGTTCTGTTGAATTTCTGGCCTGACCCGGCTTCCATTCTGCCGCTCGCTATGCTTTTTGCTTGCTTGGTAACCGCGGCTCCACGTCTTGGCTTGGCCGCCGTGCTCGGCCCAGCCCAGCCCAGCCCAGGATGACCGGCACTGGGAGCAAAAGCCCAGTCTCCAGTGGGCTAGCTAGCTGTGCTCTTCCCGGCTCAGTATAGTAGTGTCTCCATCATGGATGGTTTTTATGTATCATGGCTCCATCGCAAATGTACCTCCCCAAGTATGTACGTACGAGCTTGACGAGGTTGTATTAGCCATGGAGAACCTCCTTGTACTCGTATCCGCCTCCTCCATGTACCTAATGAGGCGTGTCCGGCGCCAGCAGGCGTCTCGTCATGTAATGCAGTGTACCTCGCTCGACTGCAGCTTCGCCGTGAGCTTGTATGTACTCTACTGTACTTTCTTGCCTGCTTCTTTTGAGGGTCTGTAGCTTAGTTTGACTCCGAATAAGAATATGGCACGCAATATGGGACCGAGGAAATAGCTTGTAGATCCCATCCCCGTCTGAACTACAAAATGCCATATCTCCCCCGTCTTTCGGAGCTGCTCCGTTCTTCTGTTCTTTCTATCTTCATTGACGAAGCTTCTCCCAAGCCTCGGTGGTATTACCTAAAGCTCTTCAACATATCTCTTCAGAGTTAGACCCTGATAGTGCCACTTTTGCCTCTACGACAATCCGGACATTGGAAGCTTCATTCAACCTTTTATCCATTATATGAAGCTCATCTGCATCGTTTATCCAATCTGTGCACCATATTGACCAGATTGGGCAATACCTCATTCTCGAGCAGGAATAAGAGCTTCTGCAAACCGGATCTATTCCTCACAATCTCCCATTTACTTGGTGGACCTCTTCCCGGTTTCTCACACGTCACGACTTTGAATACGCCAAATCTCATAGACACAAAGTTTGTGCTATAAAACTTGGCCTGCATTTAAAGACTCTATTAAAAGTTTAGACCTATACCCCTCTTCAACAGCAATCAGTCATCATGTCACCCCACAGCGAGGTTTCATTCAACGGCTCCGAGACCCCAGTCTCCAACGGTACCACCAACGGTCACAACGGCACAAATGGCACCAACGGTATTACTAACGGCCACAACGGCCATGTCAACGGTAACAGCAACGGAAACGGAGCTGCCCCTGCTGCTCGCCATGGACCCCGAGTTCACAAGGAGAGATCTCCTTATCTCGAGTCCGCTCCCACGGATTCTGAGTTTGATCTCATCTGCGCTGGCTTCGGCCCCGCATCTTTGGCTGTAGCCGTCGCTATTCATGATGCCATTGCCGAGGGCAAGAAGCTTCGCCCTGATGGCGCAGCTCCCAAGGTTCTTTTCCTGGAGAAGCAGACCAAGTTCGCTTGGCACGCCGGTATGCTGCTCCCTGGAGCCAAGATGCAAATCTCCTTCATCAAGGATCTGGCCACTCTTCGCAACCCCCGATCTGAGTTTACTTTCCTCAACTACCTCCACCGTCAGGGTCGTCTCGTTGATTTTACCAACTTGAGCACTTTCCTCCCTGCCCGTACTGAATACGAGGACTACCTTCGCTGGTGCTCTTCTTGGTTTGACCATGTTGTTAGCTACAACAACGAGGTTCTCTCTATCTCCCCCGAGAGCAAGGAGGCCGGTGCTGTCAAGACTTTTACCGTCCAGGCTCGCAATGGCAAGACTGGCCAGGTCCAATCTTTCCGCAGCCGTCACGTTCTTGTTGCTGCTGGTGGCCAGCCTTCGCTCCCCAAGAGCCTCCCTGCTAAACACCCTCGTGTCCTGCACTCTTCTCAATTCGCCAACTACGCCCCTCAGATCCTAGCTAAGCAGAACGCTCCTTACCGTGTTGCTGTTATCGGTGCCGGCCAGAGTGCCGCCGAGATCTTCAACAACGTCCAGAACCTGTACCCGAACTCCAAAACATACCTCATCATGCGCCAGGAGTTCCTGCGCCCCAGTGATGACTCTCCATTGTAAGTTGTGCACAGTTGCCCATCATAGGAACCTCCGGGACCTCTGCTGACGATGACGGACAGCGTCAACTCCATCTTCAACCCTGAGTACATTGACAACCTGTGGCCTCGATCTGTCAAGGCCCGTGAGACTCTTTTGACTGAGGCTCGCGCTACCAACTACGGTGTTGTTCGCCTGGAGCTCATTGAGCACCTCTTCGAGAAGATGTATGACCAGAAGCGTGAGATCAGTGACGATGAGACACAGTGGCCTCACAGAATTCTCGCTGGCCGTGAGATTGCCAGCGTCGACACCAAGGGTGACGCTCTCGAGATCAAGGTCCAACGCGTGAATGATGGCCCTCTCGATGGCTTTGTCGACCAGGAGACTTTTGAAGTTGATCTCATCGTTGCTGCCACCGGTTACAAGCGAAGCGCTCACGTCGACATGCTCAAGGACGCATGGACAATGCTCCCCAAGACCGTGTCGGGACGCAACGAGTCCCCCAAGGGTGTCAATGGCTGGAACGTCGAGACACAAGATGGCGAGCGCAAGCTGGCCGTTGGAAGGGATTACAGAGTCAAGTTCTCCCCTGGCACTGTTGCCGACGACTCTGGCGTCTGGCTGCAGGGCTGCTGCGAGGGTACTCACGGGGTAAGTGATCCACCGTGAATTGATCATGTTCATTCGACAGACACTAACTTTGTCCCTAGCTGAGCGACACCCTCCTCTCCGTCCTGGGCACTCGTTCAGGCGAGATTGTTGAATCTATTTTCAAGCAATAAATGTTATGACAGCACGAATGAACGGATACCTACGTTTGTAATGGGTTTGCAAGGGCAGCGAAAATAGGTGACTGGACTGAAAAGAGCAGTCTGGCCGCTTAAGTCATTTTTTATTTACTATATCCTCTGTTATTCGTTATTTGTTATCGCCATTATCGTTTCAGTACATACTGCGAATTAGGAGACAAAAGTTGGATTTCAGTTTTTCCTTTTGGTGTTCTGTAGATTTTGTTAGAGCCCCACCACGACATTTAAAAAATATTTACAATGTCCAATTTCCATTCTCTGTGTCCATGCATCCATTGTCGCATCTCAGTATCCAGGCTGTTCTTGACAGGAGGTCGCAGCTCTCCATTTTTGGTATGTCCCCTTAAGCTTATTCCAGTTGCCACACTTTCAACGCACTGTTACGGGCCGCTTCTCGGGTACTGCGCCTAATATGATGGGCTTAACACGGCCTGATATAAGTCGGCATCAAGCTGCATGTCGCCCATTCCACGAACGCCCGTCTATCGACTGCCCGTTTTGTGTTTCTGATTTCCAGTGGTACTCCCTCGTGGGCTAGTTGCCGTGAGATTCAGTACTCGGGATGACTTCATAAGTCTTGGCCCGCACTGCACCAAGTGTTGTTATTGACCGTTAAACGTAGTATCCCCGTTACACGAAACGGAGTGAGCCTCTGCAATTGGCAATAACGATGGGAATCGCCCGGCCGGCAATGTCATCTTTTAGGTAGAGCAAGAAGGACTGTATGGAAGCGCATGACATTGGATGGTTGTGCTTGAACGGGCCTCTTACAACATGCTCCGAGGCCCCCCATGCTTTCACTTGAGATTGACAAATTGACTCGCTGATGTTGAGTCATTATTTCATATTTCGGAAAGACCGTTGTAAGAGTTTCACGCTGTCGAGATGCCATGCAGAGGCGGGCCGGTCATCCCAGCATCTGGCTACACACACACTTGCTGAGAAACGGATTCTCTTCCCTTCTGGTCTACGACGTCCTATGGTTGCCCACAGATGCAAGACAGACTAGCAATGTAAAGAAAGAAACTGCAAGAAATATATGCCAAGATCTTTTACAACAAGGGTCTCGTTTTTTTTTTTTTTTTTTTTTTTTTAGCACGCATAAGAAGGTCTAAGCATGGATGCTGGGAATGCGTCGAGGGCACAGCCCAACAACATCACTGCTACTGACACTCAACGAGTTCCCCTATTGAGTTCTGTGCAGGAGGTAAAGAGTTTTGCTTGTGTAAGCAATCAACGGTCGAGTCTCGAGATGAAGCTGACAAGGTTGCAAGCCCTTGTCAAGCGACGTTGTTCTGTCTTATTCCATGCAGGTTAAGGAGTACTACCTCGGCTTAGCGTTGGAGTTGTTCAAACAGAGATCAACCATGTGTCAGCATGCACATTGATAATACATTGGACACACACACGCGGGTATGCCAATCAACAGGTCTGAGAGTGTCTTTCTTTGCAGGGAAAAGCCGCCGTGAATGGAACGAACTTTAAAATCAGAGTTCGAGTCTGTGCAGGCCTTGTTGCTCGGGCCATTGCCGTAGGCAGGCTGGCAGGGCAGAGCAGAGCAGAGCGGAGCGGAGCGCAACAGTCGAAATACATACAAAGTCTGCAGGGTTCAACGAACCGTGCCGCAAGCGAGGCGATCCAGGTCGAGGTGATATATTTTTGGCGATATGAAATCTCCATAATTGATTGACTGATTCCGGCTTCCCTCCCAAATTTCCGCACCAACGGTTGAACATTATGAGAATCCTTTCGGGTGGGGGACATCAACATCCAATGCAATCTTTTCTGAGCGGCGACCCCTAAAGTGGTACTGTACTAACCTAGCACTTGCTTGGTAGGTTCTTAGCAGGCAGGGGGTGACTGGTTCTCAGTCTCTGAGAGTAAACGACGAGTGTTCTCCTCTTGGAAACGGAGACTCACGAACGACTAAGCCATGAAGCAGCCCGACGACTCTGGCCCAACTGCAACTACGAATGCAACTGGACCACAATCGGCTCGACCTCGGGCTTCCCTCTCTGCCTCCCATAATCCGCGACGGCTTCCTGTCAATCCCCGCCGGCACAAGGTTGCTCCCGAGCATCGCAAGCGTGTCGCTACAGCGTAAGTTGATTAGTTTCTATGTGTCTACCCGTCTACAGTACCACACTACTGTAGCTATTCAATCGATATATTTTGCAATGGGTTTGTTTGTGTCCATCTTCTTTTATGTACCATCTACCGATGTATCAATTTCACTTCAATTATACTCAATTATTCCTGCGTTTCGGCAGACGTCAAGCTTGACTGAGGTTCCCCCTCAAGTCACTGACTTAAATCATATCATCATAAAAGCAGCTCACGTCTTTATCTAACACGCGTCTCGCTGAAAAGGTGCAACGCTTGCAATGTGAGAAGAGTCAGATGCTCTGGTGAGCACCCGTGTCGGCAATGCCAATCCTCTTCACGCGACTGCATATATCCTCTGCCTGTTGAGAAGGTGAGCATCACGCGCTCAGAGCTCGAGGATTTGAAACACAAGGTCGATCTCTATGAACGGGTTCTTCGAGACACTGTCCCAGCAGCTGTATCAAACGCCGTCCCGGACTCTGCAAGCCGCCAAGAACTTTCGGATTTGCTTGGTTGGACCGCCTCTAGCCATGACATTGGATCATCGGCCGTTAGTCTAGCGGCACAGACAACGCCAACGATAGATGCAACTGCGCATATCGGGCGAGTGCCGCCTGAGCTTCCCCAGCTCCAGTATCCCAGTATACATCGACAATTCCAGCAACAACCGCCTCATCTTCATCTTCAGGCTCAGCTATCAGATACTCGAATACAGGAACCCAGCTATGGACTTTCTCGAACACACTCTATCCAGCTATCACATCCCGGGGCAACGCCTCAAAACCGGCAGGACGACGAAGAGAACTTGGTCTCAACCGAGGGTCGCCTGTTGCATGACCCTGACGGCTATGCTCGTTTCCTGGGTGAGACGAGTGGCGCAACTTTCCTCGACTACTTGAAGGAATTCATGACTACAGTTCTGCCTCTTGCATATCAAAATCTGCGTCCAGGTTCTGACGGAAGCGCGTTTTTGTCGAGTCTTGGTCGTTACCAGACCTACGACTCGCGACCTTTGCATGATCGAGATGTTGACCCGACATGGTTTCCTGCACCCCCAGAGATGGACTCAATGTTATCCGAGCTTCGTTATTTCATCCAAGATGGTAACTGCCAATGGCCAAGTGGAGGAATCTACTGGTGGGGGGATCTCACTTCAACGCCAACAATCCCCTCCGTGGAACGAGACTCGGCAGCCTTGCGTCTCGCCAAGTGCCGTCATTTGGCTTTCTACCAGACTGCATTTGCTGTGGTATCTCAAGCTATGATCATGCCGCCTCAGGATATCTCTATAGACCCTCATCTCAGCGAGAACTACTTCAGCCGGGCCCGTATGCTCCTAGGGAACCCGCTTGACATTACACGCTTTACGCCCAACGAAGTATCGGTGCTGACATTGATGGGGTTCTACCTGATAGAGATGAACCGCCGTGATGCCGCATATATCTGCGTGAGCAACGCTATGCATATCAGCATCATGCACGGCGCGCATAGGGGCTGGCTTGACGAGAGTGGCAAACGCGTGTTCTGGACGCTGTATGTACTGGATCGCTACTTAAGCTGCCTCATGGGGAGACCCCCAACCATCATGGACGACGCAATTCGGTTACCCCTTCCTTGCGATGCTCCGTAGGTTTGCCCTCCTATATGCCCCTTCGCTCTGGCTGACTCCATTCGATAGGTCTATGCCTCCAGCAGATGGTCTCAAAGCTCATGTCGAGCTTTCTCGGATATCATGCCATATCGTGTGCAATACATATCGCATTTCCCCGTCAGAAGACGCCGCAAGACCTGTGAGGAGCCTCGAAGGGGAGATCAGTATGCTCGACGAGTGGTGTCTGAAACTTCCACCTACGGTACAACTCACAAGTAACGGGTTGAGCGATGATCCAGCCACTTGCTTGCTGCACATGCACTACAACCAGGCAATTTCTCCATTTCCCAATGTCTTTTGGGGCTATGCTAACATGTCCTTCAGTTAATAATCTTGACTATCCGCCCCGTTTTCTTCGCCTTGGTTAAAAAATCATTCGCGGAAAAGCTGGTATCGCGGCAGTGTTCCTTGAGTTCACATCCACAACTCCCTCTACTGAAGCGATGCATAGCATCAGCAGAACACAATATCCAGCTCGCTCGACAGATCCTACTTGTGAATCGTCCTCGAAAGCTGCTCCAAGCCGGTCTTCACTTCATTTTCAACGCTGCCATAGTACTGATGTTACAGCAGCTGGTAGAGGATCTGTGCCCGTCTTCTCGGAGTGAAAAGGCTCGTTCACTTGACCTCGACTTTGTGATTGGGAGGTTCGAGGATGAGAGTCGAGTTGGTAGCAACTACGGTCGGGACTGTGCCACGGTACTTCGGGATCTTCGCGTTCTTGTGCAGCGTCTCCCTATCCCTGTTGACATGAGCACTGCGACACGTTCCGTCAACATGACACAGACTACGACAACCTACGATCCGATCGCAAATCGAACACATGTTGACATGGGACAGCAATGGTCAGACAAGTTGGCATCAGAGGCACTTCAGCAACCTATCCTTGTTGATCAAGGGCACATACTATATAATGAGTTGGTTTCGTGGATTGATGTCGATTGGCAATCCAACAATGGGTATCTCATTTGAGTTGGAGTTGGGCGCCCGTGAGCAACAAAAGTTGGCGACTGACATTGGGTTCTTGTTACGGAACAAAAGTTGATGCTTTTAAGGTTTTAATTCTAATGGATATTTGAGAGAGTGTTAAGCGACATTTGAATGTAGGATATGCAGTTACGATGACTTTAGTGTTGATGATGGGCAATTAAATGTCCTCTAATAGTAAATAGCGAAACGAACTATCGACCCAAGCAGGACACAATCGGATTCAAAC